TGTCTCCCTGTAGCCTGTAGCCTCAGCTGACCTGCATTGTAGACCAGGCTGACCTTGATCTCACAGAGATCCGCCTGCCTCTGCCAGTGCTGGGGTTAAAGGCGTGAGCCACTGGCTTAAATAAAAATAAATCTTATAGCCGGGTGTGGTAGCACACGCCTTTAATCCCAGCACTCGGGAGGCAGAGGCAGGTGGATCTCTGAGTTCAAGACCAGCCTGGTCTACATAGTGAGTTCCATGACAGATGGGGCTGCAGGGAGACCCTGTCTCAAAAAGACCGAAAAAAAAAAAAAACCTTATAAACAAAAGTTATAGTGAAATGAAATATTTTATTTCTCCAAAGCTTTGTGGGAGCTGTGAGATGGTTCAGTGAATGCCATGAAACCTGATAACCTTTTGATCCCTGGAACCCACATCAAGGTGGAAGGAGAGAACCAACTCCACAGAGTTGTCCTCTGACCTCTACATGTGCATTGTGGTCCACCTCCATCACACACACACACACACACACACACACACAAAATAAAATAAAATAAAATTAAATAAAACAAACAAAAGCTCCGCAGGCCTTGCAGTTGTGTGAGCCTGCTTGCTGAGGGCAGTAGGTGCCCAAGGCTTTGTTTATTGAGGTATGGTCTCCTCTGCTGCCCAGGCTGGCCTCAAATTTACAAATTCATTGTCCTCCTGCCTCAGCCTCCCAAGTGCTAAAGGGCTTTTGTAAATAATTGGTAGGTTTGAGTGTGACCACACCTCAATTTTCATCTTTGTAGTATGGATGTTAGTGATTTCCTTTTCACATGCTGGGGTGTAGGTATAACCTGCTTCAAGCATAGCAGAAAAATGTACAAGATTTCCACTCATTCTTCCTAACCTTTGCTAAGATCTCCTGGTACTGTGCAGAGAGTGGGCTGGTGGCAGAGCCCATCCAAATTCGAAGGCCATGATCGGTTGGACCTGCAGTGTTGGTGGGAAGGGAAAAGTGCCTATCAGCAGTGCTGGGACAGCAGACACCTGTCTGGGGGGCAGGGAGAGAGGGAGCACAGGAAACTGGAGTAACAGGCCATATGCCATGGCCACGTTTCTGGCTTGCAACTCCCAGAGGAGAATTTGGTTGGTAGCAGTGCTTGATAGAAACAGCATCTCCTACAACACCCTCAATTTCTCTGGCTTGAAGGCTGCGGCTTCAGCCCCAGCCATAGACTCTTTCGAGGTCATTCTGGGTGTCAGTGGATGAGGCCTGTTCCAGTTTGTTTCTCCATTGCAGTGACAAAATACACTTACCAATACCAACTTGGGGAGGAAAGGGTTTATTGGGCTTACATCTCCTGGGTCACAGTTCATCAGGGAGCCCAAGGTAGGAACTCAGGGCAGGAACCTGGAAGTAGGAGTTGGAACACAGGCCGTGGAGGAACGCTGCTTACTGGTCTGTTCCCTGGCCCCTGCTCAACCTGCTTTCTTATACAACATAGGCCTACCTGCCCATGGGTGGCACCATCCACAGTGGGTTGGTCCCTCCCATATCAGTCAATAATCAAGAAGATACCCCACAGAAATTGCCACAGGCCAGTCCAATGGAGGCAATTCACCAATTGAAGCTCCCTTTACCTAAGTATGTCAAGTTGACAACCAAAGCTATCCAACACAAGGTCTATGACCCACTCTGCTTGGGTCCTGGGCAAGAGCCCAGTTAGTCTCCCTGCTGACTGCTAAGCTCTCCCTCTGCCAGTCTTTGCCCAAACCCTTCCAATGTAGCGTGCTCTTCACTGTCCCTATAATACCTACTCAGAGGTTGTTCTGAGACCCTGAGGCCCTGTATCCCTCAATAGAAGGCTGGGTTATAGGGTTTCCCTCTGAGGCTTGTCACACAGTCTGGGACAAGTTACACATCATCCTGGGACCAGACAGGGCAGCAGCTCCCTCTCTCCCTCCCTCCCTCCCTCCTCCTTTCCTCCCTCCTTCCTTTGAACAGCCTCAAGGGTGGTTGTCAGCACAGAAGATGAGGAGGGCGAGGACAGTTTGTGAGGGGCCTTGAAGGTCCTGGAAAGATTCACATTTCATTCCAAATGTAGTGGGAAGTTGTGGGGTATGGGGTCTATCTGGGATTCATGGCTTTGTGGGACATTTTTTAAGTGGGGAGAGTCAAGTAGGTAAACAGAAGTCCAAGGTCATCCTTCAGGTGAGAGATGAAGTTCGAAGTAGAGAAGGTAGAGTCAGAAGAGAGAGGGAGTCCGCATGAGAACTCAGGGGTTGGACATGGGGTGGTGATGGGAAGGAATCTGCACAGATAGGGTGTCCTGTTGGGGGAGGACTAGAGCGGGCAGGAGGGATTGATAGGGTCTCTCTGGGCCAGGCTGGTGTAAAAAGCCACCAGACATTGACTGGAAATGTCCAAGGACACTGGCATCAGGGAATGAGTGGGACATCATGGGAGCAGGTTTGGGAAAAGAAATGTAGAATGATTATTTTGCCAGAATGTTAGGGCTGTGGCAGTCTGAACCATGGACCTGACATGTTGGATGTGAGGGGATGTGACATCCTGATGGCGTTATTGATACCAGGCCCAGCTGCAGACACAGACCCCACACAAGGGTTTAGAGGCCAGGAGTTCTGTGGGGACCCTGGGACAGAGTTTCTTCCACCCTGCTGTTCCTCTGTCCCTTAGGGCAATGTTTCATCCCTGTGCTTCTGCTGGGGCTGTTTTACCTTCTTGTTCACTACATCTTATGTGACTGGGTAGTGGTGGACACAAAGAGGGACAGCGTAGTATCCAATAGTAAAATATTACATGCAAGACAATTTAATATTAAAGAAAGCTGGGGACCAGGAGACTCCCTGTTCTGTAGAACAAAGAGTACGGAGTCTCTGACTTCCAAGGTTTTAGTCATAGGGATGGGGTACTCTAAGCATGTATTCAGAAACAAAGGGTAGGCAGATCAAAGGGCATTTCTCTGCAGGAGCTCAGGGAACAATTAGCAACAGTGTGGCCTGTTTGCAAGGTACAGAGCAAATGTTCACATAATATTTTACAATTTTTTTAATCTAATCTAAACATAAACATAAGGGACACAGCACTTCAGAACCTGTGTCTGCATACATGCCTATCTGGCTCTGCCATCATAGACAGTCTTGGCTACTGGTGTCTTTGCATATGTAGTCAAGTATGCTTTCTACAGAGTTCAAACAGGGCAATGCTCTCCAAAATTTGCTTTTAATTTTTTGTCATCTTGGATGGAACTTAGGGTCTTGCACATGCTCAGGAGGTACTTTACCTGCTGAGTCACAATCCCAGCCCCTCACTGGGGGAGTCTAGGCAAGTCTCTACTACTAAATTATATCATGAGCTCTCTTTTCATTATTTATTTTTTATTTATATTTTTAAGATTTATTTTTATTATTTTAATTGTGTGTGTGGGAGTATGTCCATATGAGTGCAAGTACCCACGGAGGCCTGAGGCATTGGATCTCCCTCCAACTGGAATTACAGGCTTTGTGAGCCACCTGATGTAGGTGCTGGGAACTGAACTGGTACTGCTGATCCAACTCTCTAGCCCCTCTATCTATCACCTATCTATCTGTCTGTCTGTCTGTCTTTCTATCTATCTATCTATCTATCTATCTATCTATCTATCTATCTATCTATCTATCATCATCTATCTATCATCTATTTATCTATCATCTATCATCATCTATCTATCATCTAATCTGTCATTCTTTTTTTTTTTTTTGAGACAGGATCACCCTGTAGCCCCAACTGGCCTTGGAACTTACTATGTAGACCCAGGCTGGCCTTGATCTCAGAGATTTGCCTGTCTCTGTCTCTCAAGTGCTGGCATTAAAGGTTTCTACCACCATACCTGGCCATTATCTGTTTTGAGATAGGATGTTGCCAAGTTGCTCAGGTTTGCTTTGAACTTGCAGTTTCTTGCCTTAGCCTCCATAGCAGGTGGGACGACAGGCCTGTGCCACCAGGTCCAGAGTGCTTTGTCTTCTCATATAGAGTGGTCAGTCAGGTGTGGCCACAAGAGGGGACACAGGAGGGACCCGGAAAAGACATTTACCTGTTTTGCTCTTCCTGGAGTACAGGTACCACACTATATTGTGCAGGGCTCCATGAGGTGGGCACAGGGTGGTGGGAGCTCTTTTGGGGTTCCATGGGGCAGGCATCATGGGCACAGGAGCTCAAGACTTCCTGGTTTGAGACCTTCTGTGGGCTTGAGGCTATGGGCTATGTGTTGTGGCCCCTGGTGGTCTGGCACCTGGCCCTGGGATGAGGCTTCAGAGGAATATGGTCTCCTGTGGGGAAGGACCTGAGGGGTGAACAGTTCTGGACTGGTCACTTTGCACAGCTCAGACACACTTCTGGCTGGGCCTTTGTTGTTGCTGGGAGGAGTATGTGACACAGTCTGAAATGTTTTAATTTGCTGAGATAGCATTTCACTATGGCCCAAGCTGGTCTTGAACTTATGATCCTCCTGTCTCCTGAGATTTGGGATGAGAGGTGTGTGCTACCATGCTTAGTCAAAACATCTCCCTACTCTCCTCTTCAAGGATGCCCTGGCTGAAGCACAGGAGGCCCAGCATCCTAATATACAGAAGATTTGAACACTCATTGTTCATCAGGCCAGGAAGGGTTCTAGGTTGGCAGAACAAGCAGGAGTGGAAGTTCAGGGGGATGGTTGTCACTTCTTCAGTCCCTACCTTGTCTCTTGGCATCCTGGCCTTGGGCTGCTGGGAAATGTAGTTTCCACCAGGCAGTCTGGTCTCCTACAGCTTCTTAGAAGGAGGAGAGGTTGCCTGCTCAGATCAGACCTCAGAAGGAAGCTAGACGTATGGCTAGGGTCATTGTCTACACAGTGTTTAAAGGTATGTGCATGGCAAGGTGACACAGGGCAGCCTAGAGGAGAGTACAGGAGAGGACCGAACCCTGGGCCTTTCCCATCCTCACAGCCTGACAGCCTCTCCTACTGTGACCTGTTTTTTTCAATTGACTCTCTCCTTAGGCCTTGTATGACCCCATCAACCCTGACAGAGAGACCCTGGACCAGCCATCCCTCACTGACCCCCAGCGTCTGTCCAATGAGCAAGAGGTGCTCCATGCTCTGGAGCCCCTGCTGGCCCAGGCCAACTTCTCTCCACTCTCTGAGGATGCCCTTGCCTATGCACTGGTTGTCCATCACCCTCAGGATGAGGTCCAGGTATCTGTTCCTAGAGGAGCCACACTTCTTCTTTGAAGAAGCCTCCCCAGCCACTTCACTGCCCTCTGTCAGGAAAGGGTCATTAGTGCCACCACCTGCTGGAACTTTGTGATAAACAATACAAAACTCTTGTCTTTAAAGTCAACAGAATGTAGCAGAAATACTAAAGTCTTCCACATTTTAGTGAATTTTAAGTTGTATTTAAAAAATTTATCTTTATCTTACGTGTATGAGTGTTATGTCTGCATATGTGTGAGTACACCTGTGTCATGCAGTGCCAGCGGAGGACAGAAGAGTGCATCTGATCCTCTGGAACTAGAGATATGGACAGTTGTTAACTGCCATGTGGGTGCTGGGATTCGAACCTGGTCTTTCGCAAGAGCAGCTACTGCTCTTAATTGCTGACCATCCTTCCAGCCCCTAAGATATATTTTTTAGTCATATTTTGTTATATTTTGGGATGCAACTTGCCAGTGGTGGTAAAACATGGTTTAAGTGACAATGTCTTGTCTTTGTAGTTGCCTCATAAATAGGGAATCTTAAAATCAGTGGCATCTTAGGCTCTAGGAAATGCAGTGACAAAGAAGATTCCTGTGTGCATGACTCTGGCCTTATGTAGTGTGTGGCATGAACCACCATGCATGGCTACCCTGCCTGGACACTGCATGATGAGTTACAGAAGATGGGGGCAGCATTTCTGGGCAGGGCATGTATTCTGGCACCTTGCCCCTAACACCCAATTCACATTCAGCCACCTCTGCTCCCTTTTTCCCCATGGCAGGTGACAATAAATTTGGATCAGTATCTCTACATGCAGTTCTGGGCCCTGGGCCAGCGAGTTGGGCAGATGCCCCACATGTCCAGTGTGGGCTCCAAGCGTGGCTTCTTCAGAAAGGTGCCCCCCACGGAGAGGTGAGGTAGCCTTTGTTCCCCAGCTACAGTGAGAGGGAGCATGGGTAGAGTCAAGAGGAGACTGACAGGTCAGTGTCTGACTTTGGGTGTCTGGGGTGGGAAGTCTTGAAATGGGAGGTACAAATTGTCCAAATGCAGTCTTTTCTTCTGAAGGAAAGTGAGTAGGACTGTTCCCAGAAGATGAGAAGGGGTAAGGATAATCATCCCCATTTACCAAATGAGGAAAATTGAGGTTCAGAGAGGAAGGCTGTGTCCTGAACAAATGGCACAGCCAGGATTCTAATGAACAACCAACAGGTACAATAATGGGGATACATAAGTAACCGATCCCCCACAGTTGGATACACATTTATTTCCAATTCCTTGTTATTAAGTTGCTTTCTAAAAGGTCATGCAGCATGGAGCTACAGAGTTTCTGGCAGGAGGGCTCCAGCCTTCCAAAGCCTATATCCTCCTCTCTGGCCTTCAGGAGGTATTTCAAGCGTGTGGTGTTGGCAGCTCGGACAAGACGTGGGCGCCTGGTTCTGAAGAGTTTCAAGGACACACCGCTGGAGGGCCTGGAGCAGCTGCTTCCTGAACTGAAGGTGCGCACGCCCACACTGCAGCGTGCCCTACTCAACCTCATGCTGGTGGTCTCAGGTGTGGTTTTCTTCGTCAATGTGGGCATGGTGGTACTGTCTGATTTCAAGATGGCCACCTCCCTGCTGCTGCTGCTCTTTGCTGCCTTTATGGGCCTTAGGGCCTCCAAGGTGAGTACCTACTGCTTAGGCCACTCAGCCAGGCCACCCTGTACTTTCAGTTTTCCCATGCATCTTCCCTGGTGTATGCTGCCCTCCCATGCTCCCTACTTCATTTACCCTGTACCCCTTAGGCAGGGATTTTACTCTGAGCCTCAGTTTCCTCATCTGGAAAATAGGATCCTACTGGTGCACTAGCTTGACAATTTAAGGGCATGAGGATGTGTGCTTTGGAGCTTGACTGCCTATATTTGAATCTGACTCTGTTGTCCTCCAGCACCATGGTCTTAAGCAAGTTGCTTAACTTCTCTGTGCCCCAGCTCCTGTACTGCAAAGTGGGAATGATGTTAGGACCTGATTTATAGGGGAGACAGGGATTAAATGAATCCATTCAAGCCTGGCCACAGGAAGTGTCATGTGAGGTCTCTGTTGAGGTGATGATGGTTGTTACAATGGGACTATTTGTTCCCTGAATTTCCATCCTGGTGGGCTGTCCTGATCAAAGAAGGAGCCAGCTCCAATCTCAAAGGACTGAATTGGAAACTCTGGACCTAGACCAGTAAATCATATAGTTAATAAGCTCCCTTTCTAATCTGTAGTATGAAGTTCAGGGCTGCCTTATATAGTTGTTCAAGTTGCTCACCAGCAAGGATTCAGGGCTGAGAGGGTATATGGGACTGACACCCAACTTGTACTCTTCTCACTGGTGTGTGCTCTGTCTGTTGGCTGAGGTGACTGGGAAGGGTGACTTTTCCCATATCCCTGGGGTTGGCACTGCCCCAGGAGTGCAGCCTAGTGTGAGGGCTGTGTGGTATCCAGTTGTTCACTTGCCAGCTCATTAGTTCCCAAGCTGTTTTCAGCCACCCAGTCACCTCTCCCTCAGGAAGATAACACTCATAAATAATGGCCAGGTCATGCTGACTGTGAGGATGATGGACAGCAGGAGGGCTGGGGAGAATACTATGTAGCAGGGGAGGCGAGGTCCAGGGTGGCCAGAGTCATGGATGCCCACATAGAGTTTCTGGGCTTTCTCTTCAGGGTAGCAGGGCATCATGGAAGGTTGAAAAGCAGGGAGGAACCTTGGTGACCACAGGCACAGTAGAGGCTGAGACAGGGAAGCCAGTGAATGCTCTCCAGTGTCCAGGGTGGACCCTCCTTTCACGCCTCAGTGGTCATAGGGGGGCATGGAGCCTAAGGCATGGAAAAGCTCAACTTATCCAGCTCTGGTACATTGATTACCCAGGCCAGGGCTCAGCCCTGTCTCCTTCCTGGCTGTCCACATCCCCATTTCCTCCCATGTTTCAGTTGGTTCTGCATCTGCTGCACTACTGGCCCCTCCTAGTTTTCTCCTGTCCCCACTTACATGAAGTCCTATTCTTCCTGCCTGGCTCCTCCTCAGCTCCTCGATGCAGGACTTTCTTTCCCTGAGGGGTTCCTCTACCTTGAATCTCTGTGCCATCCAGGAGGTCACTCCCTTCACCCACGGCCACTGTGAAGCAAAGTGGCTGGGACATGCCCCTGCTGGCTTTCATTGGCTGCCATAGCCAGCATCTCCCACACCTGCTCTTTGTCGGGGTATGACCATGGTGCCTGCCTTGTCCTTGCCTTATCCCCAGCCTCCAGGGCCCCCTGTAGCCCATCTCCAACTCCACACAGAGATGGCCCTGCTCTGCCCTGCCCTCCTCTCTCACTGCCTGGTTAGGGGGGTCCCTGTTTCAGCCACCCTGGGTTTCAATCTTTCACCACCACTACCCTCACGGCCATCCCCAGCTTCTGCTTCTTGTGTATTTGTGGCACCTGCCTTCCCTTCCTGCTTCTCCAAACTGCATTTATACATGTCTGACTGAATGTCCTCTTTCTGACTGGGCTGGCCACCCCTTTGCATCCCTCATCCCCAGGCCAGAGGCCACCAGTTCTGTGAGATCTTTCTGAACCACTTAGGATGGGACCACACACCTGCCTTCTCTGTGTAGAGCAGGCCAAGGACAGCCTGGGGCTGTGGCACTGGAGCCTGAAAGAACAGGGCCCTCCTGCCCTGGGGAAGTGACAACCTATGGACACGGGAGACTGTGGCCTGTGGTATAGGAGCCTGAAGACTTGAGGATGAGATGGTGTTCTCTAAGAACAGAATGGGGGACTTTGCTTGTTTGAAGGCCAGGGTCTGAGGAGACCAAGGGGCTTGTGTGCTTGGACACAGCAGTGTGTGCCATATGGGTGGCACTGGTGAAGGGGTTTGGAGCTTTAAAATCTGAGGGCTTCTGGGGTTGGAGAGATGGCTTAGTGGTTAAGATTACTGGCTGCAGGGCTGGAGTGATGGCTCAGTGGTTAAGAGCACTGACTGCTCTTGTAGAGGACCCAGGTTCAATTCCCAGAACCCACATGGCAGCTATGCACCGTCCTTAACTCCAGTTCCAGGGGAATCCAACGCCCTCTTCTGACCTCTGCAGCATTACATGACATGGGTGCACTCACATACATGCAGGCAATACACTCATACACATAAAATAAAAATAATAAATAAATTTTTTTTTTAAAAAAAGTACTGGCTGCTCTTGCAGAGGACCTGGATTTGGTTCCTGGCACCTAACAGGTACATGGTAGCTAACAACTGTCTGTAACTCCAGTTCCAGGGTCTGACGCCCTCTTCTGACCTCCATGGGCATTGCACAACACAGGTACACTTACATACATGCAGGCAGTACACTCATACACATAAAATAAAAATAATAATTAAAATTTTTTTTTTAAAGTCTGAGGGCTTCAGGAAGCCAAGGAGGCTGTGAACAAGCAGCAGGGAGATGAGACTAGGGGAGAGGTAAACCAGGATAGACTGGGGACAGATAAACTGGCCAAGAGGGATGTGGATGGAGAAGGTATACCCTGTGACCCATAGAGGGTAGGGCTACCAGAATGGGGATCCCAGGGAAGGAGGAATGGGAAGTTAATGAATGTATCTGCATGCCATTCACAGGCGACGTGCTTCTTTAGCATGAGAACTTGGCATTGCAATCTTGGCAGATGCCAACTATTCCATGCAGGATGGTCCCTAGTACAGGGTTCCTGCCTCTGTGGCAATTGGCTTCAGGGCAGGGGTGGAACTGATGGTACAAGCTTCTAAGAAGAAGATCCAGCCACACAGCCATGCTGTGGGATTAGGCTGTTTCAGCCCAGGATGAATTTTTGGCAACACAGGGTGGGGACAGTGATCCCTAGCTGTTGATATTCAGGGATAGGGTGGGCTGCTGTATCCTCATGCTGTCTTGTGTGCCAACTTCCTAGGTCCTTGCAGCACCAACCTTATAGTACAGACAGATAGTACAGACAGTGTCACTTTAGGCCAGTCTCAGCCAAGGGCTAGTAGGGCTAGTAGGGTATGGTGGAGGTGTCATGAAGGCATAGGACTGCCTTGAGCTCATCCATCATGGATGAGTCAAAGAAAGGAGACAGTTTCCTGTGGGAGAGGGAGGGGCTGGAGGTGGCTGAGGGCCCAGGCCTGCACTCAGTGTTCTTTTACCCTTATTTCTCTTTACAGTTTAATGGCTTAAACTTTATTTTTCAATCATGGAAAGGTTCAAAATGATACAGAGATAAGATAGCCTGAAGTCCCATGTGCTCAGTGTGCAGTTAGCAACAATCTGATTGTATCCCAACATCCCAGCAACAATCTGATTGTATCCCAACATCCCAGTCTCCCCATTCTGGGTCATTGTGAGGCAAATCCTAGACATGTCATCTAGGAATATGGAAGAATGCCTAAGATAGGAACTTACTGGGATTAAAATTTACTAGGCCAAAATTCATGTGTGAAGTCTTTGTACAAACCCAATAACATGTGACCAGATAGCAGTGTGGTCACTAGCAGAGGGAGTGCCCTTCAGCCTAGGCTCAGGCCCAGTTTAGGGCCTATCTCAGGCCAGACCACTCAGGCACTGGGGTTTCTGATTGACTCTGCACCTCTGATGCTGACCCTGTGTCCCCCACAGGTGTTTGGGCAGCGGCGTAGTGCCCAGGCGCTGGAACTAGCACACATGCTGTACTACCGTAGTACATCTAACAACTCAGAGCTCCTCAGTGCCCTGGCACTGCGGGCTCAGGACGAGCACATCAAGGAGGCATTACTGGCACACAGCTTCCTGGCCCGGCGGCCAGAGGGCACCCATGGTTCGCCTGAAGGTAAGACGTATAGGCCCTTCCTGCTGTCCCCAGACCGCCCCCCTGCTGTCCTCCAGGCTCTCCCTGTTGTCTCTCAGGCTCTTCCAGCTGTTCTCTAGGCCCTGTTATCTCCCAGGCCCTCCTTGCTGTCCAGGGTTCTTCCTGCCACCCCCTCTCCCCTCTGTCCCTACTCCCTGCCCTGCTATCCCCCAGGCCCAGGCCTCCTCTAGCTCCAGCTTGGACACAGCCTGTCCCCGCAGAGACGTCTAGGTGGCTGCAGTCGGAAGTGGAAAGCTGGCTTCTCGCCCATTCAGGCTGTGATGTGACCTTCAATGGATCTCGTGCCCTGGCCCACCTGCAAGCTTTGACTCCCAGCTTCGGGCTGTTCCCGCCGCCGGAGTTGCCCCAACTGGACCCGATAGTCATAGGCACCCCCAAGACTCCCAGGCCGCGCCGGGCAGTAGCTATCCCTCACCCTGACTGTTGTTCCTAACCTGTAGACACTAGTAGGGTGTCAAACTCCGCCTCCACTACAACAATCTGTCAATCCAGGTTGCTGACAGGTCATTATTTCTGCTATGTTATAGACTTCGGAGCAGCCAGTCTGGATGGCTGACAGTTGCTAGGCAACCGCCTGAGGACAGCCATTCAAAGCCATTTATTTCAGCTTGTATTGTTCTTGGCCCCACCCCAAGTAGGAACCTCCTACACGACCTGGGGGAGGGGGTGCGGCCTGGGGGACTGGACCCAGCTGTCACATTGCAGCTGCCAGCAATGGCCACCGTGAGACGGGCCAGGCTGTGAAAGCTGAGCCTGGAGACGGTGCATCACCGTCTGTTTAGCCTGCTCAGGAACTTCCCACCACATGCTCCTGGGCGGGGCCTGTCGCAGCCGCAGCCCAAGAGCTGTTTGGCCCTGGCACACAGCCAGTGACAGCTGCTGGCCACCATCAACTGGGCAGGGGCAGGAGGGGGGCAGCCTGGAGGAGCCTGCTCTGGGTATCCTGAGATGGGCCATCTGCTCAGCTGCTGATCCATCCTGGCTAAAGACACTGGGAACCTTGGGCCCACCAGAAGGTGGTGGGCCTGCTGGAGTAGAGATGGCCCTCCATGAAATCAGTCCAGGTCCCTAGCAGGCCCCCTGGGCTTCCCTACCTTGCTGCAAAAACTACCTCAGTCTGGGTCTCCTCACCAGTGACCTGTGCAATATTTATTACTTTACCCTCTTCAAAGGAATAAATCATGTTTAATAAATACATCTGGATGGGTAGTGTGGCTGTAGGGGTGTGTGTGTGTGTGTGTGTGTGTGTGTGTGTGTGTGTGTGTGTGAGAGAGAGAGAGAGAGAGAGAGAGAGAGAGAGAGATTGGAGAGATCTGAGAATGAATTCTGGGAAGAACAGTGTGACTGTGTGTGGATGGGTCCCAGACTGGGATCTTAGCACCTGATCCCTGAGGAAAGGTCCTGATTGCAAGACTTTGGGTTCCAAATAGGAAGACAGGGTGGCTGCCTGCAGATATGCTGGTTGTTCACAAAGGCACACAGCCAGAAAGTAGGTGCCTGTGAAAGACAGCTGGTCCCCACTGTCTTAGTATAGAAGAGGGTGTGTGTCATATAGGCTATAGCGATGGCCTTTGTTAGGGGGGAAGGGTTGGGTTCTAGAGAGGAAGGGAGAGTGGTTTGAAAGAGGAAACAACTTTGAGTGGTGGGGTAGGAGAGAAGAGATCAGTAACGCAAATGCACTGCAGTCTGCGTCTAGGAGAGCTGAGAGCAATGCCACAGAACCTGGAGCAGAAAAGAGGGGAGCTGCTAACGTGGTCTGATGAGGGTGGGAGGTTGGGGGTTGGTAATGACATATAACTCCTGATCTTTCCCAGGTGAGGTGCCCTTAGGCACTCCGACAGTCTGTGGGAGGGAAGCTGGCTTGGTCCAGATGTCCCAGGGAGGAAAGAAGCTCAGGACCAACAAGGGCTGATAGGGAAAGAGGGAGAGAGCAGAGTCAGGCGTGAAGTTAAATGGGTTTATTTTATGGAGGACACTGCACTCATTCCCGTTTCCGCAGGTGGATGTAGATGATGCCGCTGACCAGGGCTAGCGGGAAGGCCACCCAGGCTAGGGCAAAGCAGTAGCCAAAGCTTCCCCCACTCCGGTACTTCGCCAGGATCTCCTCAGTGTGGATGGTGTAGATCAGTGCCCCAGAGAATACGGCTGCACCTGAGGGAACCGCAAAAGGCAGTGGTGTTGACACACAGAGCACAGGGAGATCTTGCCACACTGCTGGTGCTGCTCCACGCCCTGGAGCCTCAATGTTCTCCTCTCACCCTGGCAGCACCCAAGCAGCTGCAAAGTAACTCGGCACCTTGTTTCACTTCTGGTCCCCCACTGCTCATCCGTGAAGTAGGACTATGACAGCTATCTGTCCATGGAATTCTTTTGAGTTTTTCATGGGCCAAACATGCAAAAGGAAGTAAAGGGAGGCGGGGGGCTCTCTGGGAACCCAGGAAGAGGTTTCTAAAACCCTTTGCACCTGGAGCCGAAAAAGTAAAAAAATAGAGCTGTGATTTTAGAGACGGCCAGGATGTCAGACCTCACTGACTTCTTCAGCCCCTCTGAACCTTTAAGCCTCCAAAAAAAAAAAAATGAGTTGACCTGAAAAAAAAAAAAAATAGTAGACTAGGGCCTAATGGTGCACACCTGCACTTTCAGATACTCAGGAGGCAGAGGCAGGTAGGTAGAAAGTTGAAGGTCAGCATGGACATTTTAGTGAGACCCTATCTCTAGAATCTACCAGTGAGAGGCCAGGGACATGGATCAAGAGCTTGCCTGGCATGCCTGAGTCCCTGGGTTATAGCCAAAGAAAAAGTAAAAGTGAACTCCCTGAATAGGTTCACAAGAAACAGCAGTTGGCTGACAATGCCACAGCTACTAAGATTCAGAACATTCCTTTTGGGATATTTGTTAGCTGCCACTATCCCTGGTACCCAAATCATTTACCAAAACCCACTTCTCAAGTGTTGGCTCACTGAAGTCCTGAGACCACCATGAAGCCCCAGAGAATTACTACTCCCACTAGTTCCTGGGTTCAGGAAGTGCCCATCCACGGAGGTGACTGGGATCCTGAAGATGGTTTTCTTTCTGAGCCTTGAGTGGTGCAATCTCATGCCTTCCCTTCCACAAGCTGGGGGCAGTACTTACTGGTGCAAAGCTGGCAGAGGCCAGTGGCATAGAAGAGCCCTCCTCGCCTCATGGTGTACAGTTGGAACATGAAGAGGATGAAGGACAGGCAGCAGAGGATGAGGGAGAGTACCATGAGCACCTGTACTGCCTTCAGCCAGCCTGCAAAGGGAGACACAGTTGGTGTTTCAGCGGGTCCATCACCTCCTCACCATTTAGGGGGTCTCTACCTGCTCCTAGGTTCAGTCATGCAAGCTTGAAAACTTGGTGTTCTGGGAAAGCCTTGAGTCACCTTGCTAAATTCCTTTATTTTTCCATCTTTTTGAGACAGGGTCTCCCTGTAGCCCCAGATGGCCTGGAACTCATTATGTAGACCATGCTGGCCTCAATCTCACAGAGATCTACCTGCCTCTGTGCTGGCATTAAAGGCATGCTCCACCACGCCTGGCTTATATTGCTTTACTTAGTGGTTGATTTGTAGGATTTTTAATGACTCTCTACATAAATATGTCTGTTGAGAATAAAGACACTTTGCCTGACATGTGCAAGGCTCTGCATTCCACTCCCCAGCACCACCCCCCCAAAAGAAGACTAGAAACATGTTTTACTAATTGCAATTATTTCTTTTTCGTGCCTGGGATTCCTTGAGCAAAAGGTGACTAGAAAGGAGAGCAAGCCACTTGATTTGATCTTGGGGGAAAAGCATTTAATCTCTCATTTGTATGTGTGGTGTAGGAATCACATGCCAGGCATGCACCTTACTGCTGAGCTACACCCCAGACCTACCTCCTGTCACTTTTGGAAGGAGGCAGCTTCATCTTTTTAGAACTCTGGCCCTGCCCACCTACCTCCCTTCTCAGCTTCCAGGAATGGCTCTCATATTCAGAATACTAGCTCTATTTTCTTACAACTTTGGAAAGTCTTAAGAATTTGGGAGCTTTCTCCCCATTCCTTAAGCCTATATCACATGGCCTCTGCCCTTGTGGATCAGCTTTAGAAAAGGAACAGTAGCCTTTCCATCCAGATAGGCCACCTGTGACAACCCCTGGTGGCAGTGCCCAGGCTGGGTTCCCAACCTTAGTCCTGGGTGATTTGGGGCTTCTGCTACCCTTGGCTGTGCGCTCACCATTCTCACTGACGTTGCTGCAGTCCCACGTTTTGGTGGTGGTGTTCCATGTGCAGTCATACCACAGGTTCAGAGACTCCTTCCCTGGGAGAGTCCACCAGGACTGGGAGGGACAGAGACCAAGGAAAGTGAGGAAGGAAGGAGGGTGAGTGAGGTCAGGGAGACTGGGGAGGGTGGTGCCTGAAGGCATGGACCTGGGGACCAAAAGGGTGGGGCCAAGGGAAAGGACTGGTCCAGAGGTAGAGGTAGGGAGTTGAGGCTTGGAAACAGAGTGGGTCTGGAGCTCACAGGTCCATAGAATGGGAGGCTTACCTTGTCCAAAGTGGCCACAAAAAGCAGTATGAGAATGAGGATGTGAAGGGCAGAGACCACCAACAGGAGGAGTGACATTGCTGCTGGACACCTGGGGGATAGAGGGGGAGGCTTAAGAGGTGCAAGGGGTAGGAGCACTCAATCCTCAGGGAAGAGGGCTGTGGTCTGGATTCCCATGTCAAAGGAAGGAGGGCTGAGGGGACTCTAGGGTCTGAAAGAAGAAGGCTCAGGAGGGGTCCTGGGCATGAGGGAAAAGAGAAGGGGGCTGAGCAGTGCCTCCCTGGGGAGTAGAAGGGTGAGCCCAGGACTCCTGTGCTCCCAGATGGGGCTAGAGGATGTCCTAGATGGGCTCTTCGGAGATGGATGGGCAGGACTGGCAATATGCCCGTCCCTGAGCCATATGGGTGACCATATGAAAATTCAAGTTGACGCCCTCCTTCCCAATTTATCAGGAACTGGGGCTGTCCCCAGGTCAGGGATCCTTGACTCACTCCCCTCCTTTCCTGGCGTGAGTCATCAGTGATTCATTCTTCTCCCCCCCCCCCCCCCCCATAGCACCAGGGAAACCCCAGCTTCTGTGTCTCTGAGGTCCCCTCCCCACTCTGTTGCAAGCCCGAGGCGCTGGATGCTTGAAGAGATGGATCGGGGAGAGGACTGCCTGAGTGGAGGGGCTACCTCCCATCATCCTTCAATGTCCAGAGACAGGGCCTGGAAGTTTTCAGCCCTGGTAGTCTTCCTGAACTTGATCTCAGGGGAGAGTCGATAGCCCTGGGGAAAAGCTCCAGGGTATTTTCTGTGGGGGGCCTCTGCTGGGAGCCTACAAGTTCTTGATGGCCCCCACCCCTTTCTGTATCCCCACTGCAAAGGCTGAGAAATCACTTCAATTACTAGTCCACCAGAGCTGTGAGTGGGGGAGGGGTCTCTCCCAGCCTAGGGTAACCCTCCCAAGGTGCTGTGCTGCCCAGTAAAGAAAGAAATCCCCGAATCCGAATAACGGATTGAAAACTTACCGAGAGCCGCCGAAAAGTCTGAGTTTGAGTCTGTCCCTACTCCGGCCTTGAGCCCCGCCCTTCTGCTCCCTCCTTCCCTCCTTTTTTCCCCCCCCCCCCCCCCCCGCTCCCTCAAGGCCGTCCTCCCACCTCGCACTCTTCACACACACCCCTTCTCCTTCCCTCCTTTTCCCCTCTCTCCTCATCTTTCCCGGTCTTTTGCATCTCTCGACTCTCAATATATACCCACCCTTTTCTACTCACTCTGTCCTCGCCAAGCTGAGGTCTGTAGACAGGGGAGGCCCCAGGCACTTGGTTCTTTATTCTCTGCCTCCGCCCCAAGTCCCCCAGTGGGTGTGTTCTGGGGCCTCCCCTCAGGGCTGAGATGAGAAGTTTTGGGGCCCTGGGGTGGGATAGGTCACCTCCTGGGACCAGATGTCTGCCTTCCTTGATGGAGTTTGGAACAGGGTCCTGTGATAGGCATCAGACTTGGGGCTGGCTCTAAGGGGGGTGTGGAGGTGTGGGAGTATGTCTTCTGGAAAGAAGTGGCAGGAGGTGGAAAATGCTAGTGCTACCATTTTCTAGCTGTGCAACTTTAGGTCAGTTAGTTCATGTAGCTGGGCCTCAGTTTGCTAATCTGTGTAATGGGTATAATATACGGTCAGTAAAGAAATAATGAAAATAATGACTGAGTCAGGGAGGGTACTACTTAAAATTGGGTAATCATGGAAGGTCAGTTGGAGGAGGTAATATTTGACTTGAGACTTGAGGGCAGGAATCATCTAGACACTGGGGTTGGGGGGCAGAGGAGATTGCATAGGATCTGAGAACAAGCTCCTGTTTAGGGAGCAGACAGAGAGCCTAGGGTGTGGCAGGCAGGGACATCTGAGGGTACCCTTGAAGACTCTGGGAGGAGTCTGGATTTTACTCTAAGTGCTGTGGGAGGCCATTAGGGTTTTCACAGCACTGGAGTCCCAGGGGCATAATGTGAACTGTCATTATTTATTTTTGAAGGACACTGAGCTAGGGTGTGGGGGATGACAGAGTACAAAGTGCTTCCCTTGGCAGGAGACCAGGTCCTGGTCCTGAGAAAGTGAGGGCTGGGGGCCTGAAAGATGGGATGTGTAGGTATCTGATAGGCCAGAGCTGGGTGTGGTAACCTAGGCCTCCTGAGGGATGAGGGCTGGACAGTTTAGTAATTGGGACACAAGGAGCTAGGTACCACCGGGTACAGATTTTAGAGCCACTCATTGGCTGTGTGATCCTGGGCAAGTTATTGATAACCTCATCATGCCTCCGTTTCTTCATCGGTAGAAGAGGGATAATGGAGCATAGTTGTAGTAGTTCAGGGGAACTCTGGTTCAAGGTCTATAGTAATTGGGGAAACGGACAATACCTGGGTCCATTAGGTCCCCAAACTAAAATTTGGAATCCTAAATGAGGGTGGTGGAGAGGAACAGAGACTTGGGAGACAGATCCCTGAGGAAGCTACAAAGTGGATCACTGAGAATAAAATTAGGGATTGTGGATTCTTGTTCCCCTCTGGGACTGCAGGGACAGGGGTCAGCACCCCAGTCCTGGGAGGAGTTTGGGACTAAGACCAGCGTAGATGGGGAACACAGAGGTGTTTAGGAGTCCCCAACGGCAGTGTCCGGTACAATGGGAGTATCAAGAGACCGGAAGGCAGTGACGGATCTCCCCTGTCCAGGCCTCCGAGGATTCGTGCTGCTCGAAGCAACCCGGGCCGCTTCCTCCCACAGGAAACCGCAGAAATCTGGCACACCCAGCCTGCAAAGACCAGCGCCCACTGCCAGCCAGCCCGAGGCCCCGAGCAGCGTGGCCAGAGAGAGCCTATCACCGGAGGTCCCGCCCACTCTCACTTCCGCTTCTGCCCATTACATCGCAGCGCCTGGCAGCCGTTGGCGGCGCATGCGTAGTGAGTGATCCTGTGCAGGGTCAAAGCCTGGTGCGCGCTCCTTTCTTACAACTCCTGGCTTCCGCACCGCCTCCTAAACCACTGAATTCCTCAGATAATCAGCCCAAGGCACGCATTCCTTGGGCCGATATCGAAGTATCTAGTTTTCTTAACGTTTTCCTTCAGGCGCCTCCCGCCTGCAGGATACACACTGCTCACAGACCCGCACTTTCCAGACATCTGCTCCCGCGGGCCCGCCAAGCTTGAACGCCCTGGGGAAGCCCACCTGGCCACTTTCCTCCGTCAGGTGTTCTTCCTGGACACCCAAGTGACCCCAGGGTCTCGCATCAGGCCCCTGGCCAGTTCGCCTAACAGTGTTGCCTGTAAATAGCCGAATCTGTTCGCCCCGCCCAAAGCCCCTCCCTCTGCACGCTACAGGCCTTGGCCCCTCGGTCCCAGCACCGCCCCTAACAGGCCTCTAGCCCCTCCCCCAGCCCGCCCTGTCTGACTCTTCCCCTCTCTCGTCCCTGCAGCCCCGCTCCCTACAGATCGAAGCCCCTCCCCTCGTTTGCTACGGGCCCTGGCTTCTCCCCTGTGCCTCACTGTCCTTTCTGGCTTTCCTTCCCTAGCCCCGCCCTTTGGCCGTGGCCTCGCCACTCTTCTCTCCTGGCCCACGCTCTTTGCAGGCCCCGGGCTCCTTCTCTGGTGGTCTCCGCCGTGCCTCTGCCAGCGCCTCCCGCTTCGCCCCGCGCTGACCCCGCAGCCCCTCAGTATGAGACCGGGCGAGTCCCCCGGGGTTTTCGCTCGCGGGTCCTGCGCCCTTACCCCGCCCCTCTCAGCATGCCCGCGTCCTCGGTCCCTCCCCTGTCTTGTCTTCTGGCCTCATTGGCCCCTTATCTCCCCAGTAACCAGATCACAACAGAGAGCTTGGAGCTGCCGGGCACTCGAGCAGGTAGAGACAGCCTGGGTCTCGCCCCCTATCCCCGAGCCGGCCGGGGTCGGAGGGGCAGAGAGACGGCCCGGGGACCGAGTCAGAGTCGAACCGCAGCACCCAGACTGTGTGTGGGTGAGCGATGTCCCGGTATAGCCCCTGAAGGATCGAGGCTCAGAGGCCGCAGTGCGGTGGGTCAGTGCTGTGGGTCATCCTCTGCGTTGGTCTGCACGCCCTGAGGCTTGTATTCACCCGCAGGAGTCCTGCCTCTGTGGCCAGGATGCCTTTAGGCCTGTCGGCCAGGAGCACTCGCTCAGAGGACGGAAGTGAGGTCTTTCTGGAGGGACCCGGTAACTCATGATTCCTTTTTTCCTTGTTCCTTTGCGGTCCCGCTTCCCCAAGTTCCAAGACCCGGGTAGGGGAAGCCTCCCAGGAGCGCCTTCCTGGGAACAGATTCCTGCGTTAATGGAGGTGCCAGGCTCATGGTTGCGCCAGGCAAGGCAGTGGGATGGCCAGGAAGACCGTGGACATCAAGATCTGACCTCCACTGGCGCACCATGGCATAGTGCGCACCAACACACACACACACACACACACACACACACACACACACAGAGACAGAGAGAGACAGAGACCTAGGGAAGAAGGAAGGAAAGATAATAGCTTATAGCTAGGGTAGGGATTCTCGGTTTCTCAGTCTTGGTACTGTGGACACTGGTGTGAGGCAGTTTTCCGTTTAGGTGCAGGGAGGGTGGGGTGGGGGCTGGTGGGAAAGACTGAAGGGATAGGTTAGGGTCAGACTTACGACACCCAGCTTAGACGCCAGGCTGGGGCACGCAGGAGAGTCCACTCTGGTTGTAAGCCCTTGGAGACCGTAGGGAGATGAGGGGGAGAATGGGGAGTAAGGGATGAAGCAGGAGCTCAGGGGATGGTGGGAGAGAGGGAGGGACCAGGAGCAACGTGGGAGCCAGTTTCCCTAGTCTCAGGTACCAGGGGCCAAGAGCCCTCCCCCCAACAGATTTTGTGCCCAAATTCTTGGCGAGAGTGGGTTAGGGGAAAGAACTGAGGTCAGCTTGGCTACCAGGAGAATAAAGGGAAGAGAAAGCCTGAGAGACTCCCAGAGACTGTCCGGACTGGAACTGCAGTACAGTTTGAGAGACCCTAAAGGAAGCAGAGTTCCTAAGTCTTAGGGAGGAAGGGACTGGAGGCCTGGGTCCCTTTTTAACCCCTTGCCTGGTCTCACCCGAAGTGGACTGGGAACTTGGCCGACTGCAGCGGCAATGCAAGGTGATGGAGGGGGAACGGCGGACCTACAGCAAGGAGGTTCACCGGCGCATCAGCAAGCAACTGTGAGCTGTGGAGGAGACCAGAGGGGAGAAGGGAAATGACTGGGGATGGAGAAAGGGCAGGGATGTGGAGGGGCGGGGTTGGGGGTGAAGGACAGGGTAAGGAGGGTCAGGGGCTAGGGAGAGGAAGGGATGGAGATCAGGGGGAGGGTCAAATGAGGGTCAGAGGCTGGGTGGGGTGCAGAGAGGGCGGTTAGGGTCAGGGCTAGGGGAGGGCTGCTGCTGGAACTGGTTGCCGAGCCCCGCCCCTTTGCTTGCCTTGACTCCCCTTCCCACTCCTCTACAGCGAGGAGATTCGTCAGCTGGAGGTGTTTCGAACCCAGCTCCAGACGCAAATCAGCGTGGCCCAGAACCAGGTCAAGCGCCTTGGAGACACCAAGCGTTTGGAGGACATGGGCCGTCTGCTCAAGTGCAAGGCGCAGGTGCAGGCCGAGGTGGAGGCGCTCCAGGAGCAGACCCGGGCCCTGGACAAGCAGGTAGACTTTGTGAGCTACCTTGATGTAACCTCTGTGAGCCTTGCTATCTTCATCTGAAAAAAAAATGGGGCCACCAAAAGTGCTGTGCACTCTTGTAAACCCAGCACTCAGGAGGCTGAGGCAGGAGGACTCTGAGTCTGAGGCCAGCCTGGATAACCTGAGACTCCCTGAATCAAACAAGATAAAGAAAAACAAAACACCCCCCAAACCTAAACTACATTCTAGCTGGGTTGTGAACCTAAACAAGAAAAGCAAGTTTGAATACCTTTTTTTTTTTTTTTTTTTTTTAATTAAAAGAAGCATTTCATTACAACAGCATTAACCTATTCAATAACATTTTTCTGAGCTAGGGTACATCTCTTTCAAAATTGGGTGTACATTTTTAGGTTTACAGAGGAATTATTACGCTTGTACAATCTTTTACTGATTATAAACTCTACAAGACATAAAATTAAATGAGGTTTTAATGTTTAGAAAAGATCTCCACTTCGTTGTTAAAATACAGTTTCATACAGAAAAATTCATTTTAAGGCAACTGACATTGAGACGTTTTCACATGCATTTCTAATCTCTATATATATGACTATTACTGGTCACAGTCACTTACTTTCTGAGTTCCGTGGCATCTGAGTATGAATATAAACTCGTCAGATAAACAGCCTTCTTCTCCCTCTAGAGCCTCCATACTCTGTCATCCCTGCCAATGTCCACTGTGTTGTCAGGACCCCCATCTATTGCCCCCATCTGTCCTTCTGATAAATCTAGTCAGCCAGAGGTCCCTGTTCCAGGAGGATCAGCTGTTCCTCATCTACAGCAATCCATTGTCAGTATTCCTTTGGATAGAATTGGGG